ACTGCCTTCTAAAAGAAGTTATCGAAGGAAAGATAGAGGGGCGGATAGAAGTGACAAGAAGACGTAAGAAGGTGCTGGATGACCATGGGGACAGAAGAGGATACTCTCATTTGAAGGAGAAAGCTCTAGATCGCATTAAGTGGAGGAATTGTTTTGGAAGAGACTGTGGACCTGTCGTCTTGACAGATTACTGATGATGATGATGATGATGATGATATATATACATGACAAAGAAAGGGACGATCAGTTACAAAGAGCAGAGGAAAGCAAAAAAGTAATTTAGTAGTTACTTTTGAAAGAAAATTCATGATAGATTCCGAGCATAATATAATTGTGATCTTGTGTGTTAGATTCAGTTTAGGCAATTTATCCACAGAGAAGAATGAAAATAGGGAGTAATGAATTATTTACAAAATACATGCTGCACTTAATTAAAAAAATTGACTGTTTTTCAAGGATACAGACCAACCTCTCTCTATATTTATGACCCCTGGAATTTAGGCCTCCTGTTGGTCTGCGGGTCTTATTCAGTATCTTCACGGGCTGAGTAAGACTGCATAGTCTGTCAATATGTGTGTACGCCATCGAGGTATGTCGTTCAATTAATTAGATTAATTAGTAAGTAGGGACTTTGATTTGATGTTGTGAAACGAGAGTCGACATTTACGCTTGAATTTAAATTTGTGTGTTACTTATGTATATGGATAATGCTTACTACACCCAGTGAAATTGGAAACAAACATGAAGTCAGTGTTACTACAATACTTCATCCAAATCGTATTTCTGTATTTTAAGCATCTGTTGGTGTAGCCTAAAGAAGGAATGTCAAATTTCAAGAAAGTGAGAGTGTACTGTGATTCTGTTCTAATTTTTGTATTGTTTCTTGCATTATAAATGGGAAGGAAAAAGAAGTGTTTTGCTCCAGGATGCAGATCTTCCAGCGAGGAAACTGGAATGATATTCTTCAACTTTCCCAGGGATTCAGCAGGGCAAATCGCCATAGCTTGTCATGCAATAATTTTTTTTTGTTTTTTCCAATGTAAGTCAGATTGAATTTAATTTCACAAATATCTTTAACTTTTAGATCAGTGGAACCTTGGGTCCTATAAGCAACACCTCTCCTTCACTTCACATAACACTCATATAAACACAAACAACATTCACACAGGTTTAAGATGAAGAACACAACATGGTACGTATTTTATATACCATTATGTATATCTTAATTCCCTCTGCCACCACATATGGTATTTCACGATTTAATTCCAACTTGCGTCCACGCTGAAAGAATTATTCTAGTGAACCCACTTTACTTACCTGAAAGTGGCTTTTAGATATAGAAGCACATTTGATAGTTATGCAAGAAATTCTGTGGCACACTTTGACCCTCATATTAGTGACTTCTGGAAAAATGTTCCAGGTTTCAGTCTCTATAAAGCCTTCACTATGCATGATTTATATATGTAGATTTTCTCTATCAACTGTCCACAGAAGTAAAAGTTGCAAATTTTCCAATAGTCAGCTTCATAATATTGTGACATGACAGCTGAAAGCTGGAGTAGAAGGCCCAGAAATGTTGTCCATTGCCAGGTAATTTCCAGTAAACATGTACCCATGGCAACAAAACATGCTCCTCCATCAAAAATATCCGGACCATTACTATGCAACAGCCCATTTAACATGTTGATCAACAGTGGAGGACTTCTTTGAAGCCATGTGTCCTATGCTGTTTGTGTGGAAGTTATTTAATGAGGACACCAGCCAAGTCGACAGTCATGACTCTGGAGTTGACGGACAGAAGCTGGAGGTTGGAATTGGTAGTTAAAGTGTAGAGTGGCATTGTTAGATACTGATACAAAGAAATGATTAGTGAAAACATAGAAGACTGAATGTTTGCAGTAGTGCTTTTTAAAGTATGGAGCTTGGTAACAGTGTTAAAATTATTTGTAGTTAATGAATTATAAGCATCTGTTAAGTTCAGTTTCCAGTCCGAGCCCCTATTCTGCTAACTATCACATGGCAATGTTACTTCATGGAGAACACTCCTTAGAGATCACTCTATCGTGTGGTGTTTCCTGAAAAAATACATGGTAACTCTCTTATTGCAATAGAAAAAAAAAAGGTAAAATTATTCCTGTAATAGCCCATGGAGTTCCATAGGTTTATCAGACATTGAGGCTCCCATATCTTCTAGACAGTCAGGTCACAGATGGTGGTCAAGTTGTCGGCCTTGTGCGCCAGCAGCCCTCTATCCGCAGGAAGATCCTTGGTACTCATTTCTGTTAGAGATTGAATGGACCCCAGAGCCAAAGTGCAGCTGGAAAGATCAGCAATGTTGAAAATCACACAACCAGGGTCAAATGGAAGAAATAATGCAATAACTGGACGAGTTGCTGCAATAAGTTAACAAATTTGCTGTCATGAAAACAAGTGTGTGTGTGTGTGTGTTTTCCGCTTATTGCATCGGATAATGAAATTGTAGGGAAAGGAAAAGTGTTAGTCATACTTTCAAGAATTCCTTATCTGATGTTATTTTCTTGACTTATAAGGAATTTTGTACACTGTTGGATATTGCATTTGTTAATGCGTTGTGTTTTGAAACCAACGTGTTGGAAACATAAGGAACAAACGTGAGTGGTGTCTGTTGCCCAAGGGAATTCAAAGCAAGCACACTTGTACATTTCCAGATGCCATCGTAACTTTAGAGTCAGGTACTGTCAAAGTTTTGTCTTTTACACATTATACCTTCAGCTTCATATATGAATGCAACACTGCCAACTGAAGCCATACTCGTGTGTATCTGGCATGTCTGGTAGATCAACACAAAACATATGTACTTCCTGCACATTGACACTGAATCATTCATACTGGGTTCTCTGAATATTCCAGTTTTTCATCTTCTCTGAAGAATGAAATTTGAGATAGTAAACCTCTTTTGCAGGCAAACTCTGGGGGGCAAATTAGTGACTTACTCTTCTTGCCTGCCCCCCCCCCCAAGGAAAAAAAAGACCAAATAGGATATATCTGTTTGTCCAAGGGTTAAAATTACAAGCTGCATCCTGTCTACACTACATTGTCTCTTGTGTCATATCATGTATNCTGTCTCTACACTACATTGTCTCTTGTGTCATATCATGTAAATGACAAACATTCAGAGAGCTGAGTTGGTTCCTGACTGGGGCAAGGAATGTTTCTCTTCTGCAGTGTCCAGGCCAGCTGCAGGGATCACCCAGCATCCTATCCAGTGGGTACTGGAGCTCTTTACCTTGTGGTGAAGTGGCCAGGGCCTGAAGCTGACAACTCACCTCTATCCAACATGTCTTCATGATGCAGTGTTAAGTGATTAAAAACAGGGCCAATTAAACCTATCCAAAGAAAACAAACCCCAGGAAAAAATCCGTAATTGTTTCTTGGTCAGTTTAGCCAAAACAAAACCATTGTGTGCCAACAACAAACCTAGGTCTGCTTCCTAGCTACTGAACAACACAGAATTCATACATGTGACCATTATACCTATATCTTACAACATGAATGTATTTCAAATAATCATTTAATTACTGAAGCAGACAAATGAGCAGCAGCTTTCAAAAGTCTAGTTTGCAATGCTCCCAATGTAACACAGTGGTTCTGTGTATGTAGCAATTCTCATTCTGATAAGCAACAGTTTTCAAAGCCCCCATCTCTGCCTCCTATCCAGTCTGTACTGGGGATAAATCAGGAAGGGAGTGAAGGTGACCACTCACCTCCATCTAGTGCCATGGTCAAGAATGGTGGAACTAGACCTCCACTGTGGCATAGTGCTTAACTGATTAAGCATATGGACAACATTTTTCTTAAGTCATGCAACTGACACATCTGAGTGTTCTAAAAAAAAAATAATGAACGCTTGGTTTCTGTTTACAAAACTATAGATTTATTAATTTAAAATAATAAAAATACATTCCTTATACAATTAGAAAATTACAAAATAATCAGAATACATTCCTTATACATATAATTAGAAAACTACAAGTTTAAATCACTAAAGAGATTGTCCATTTCTTTCACAAGGTCTTCATCATCTAAAATCAAAATATCATCGTCAGCATCTTCTGGGCACTCCTGCAAGGAGGTTCTGCCTGAAATAATAGATAGATATGATAAGAAATGGCAATTTGCAATAAAATAACCTGAATCTGAGAGCAAAAATAGAATTACAAAGTTTGTGACTATGGTTTATTAACATGGTTATTAATATTTTAGACATTATCCATTGTCCTGGTTTTCTGTTACAGCAATGGTNTTTCACGAAGTCTTTATCATCTAAAATCAAAATATCATCATCATCAGCATCTTCTGGCCACTCCTGCAAGAAGGTTCTGCCTGAGAGCAAAAATAGAATTATAAAGTTTGTGACTACGGTGTATTAACACCGTTATTAATATTTTGGACATTATCCATTGTCCTGGTTTTCTTTTACAGCAATGGATCAGAGACTGTATGGTGCCTCCATGCTGAGATAATTATTTTATTTAAAAAACAGTTCGCCCTAGTACCCAGACATAGGGGCTAGATTTAGGCCTATCTGAGGATTGAGGCAGATTCCAGTGTTCAAAATATTGTTTTAAATAAAAAAACACACGATGGATAGTGTCCACAAAGCCCAGTTTCTACTGTTATCTCATTATCCATACATACTAAGTGGGTTTCCAATTATTGCATCAGATACTCAAACTCTAGTGAATGGAAAGTGTGTGTGAGTAATACTTCCGATTATTCCTTATCTGATTTCATCTTCTTAATTTACAACAAATTTTGTGCACTGTTGCAGACTGCATTTCTTAATGCACCGTGTTTTGAAACTGACATGTTAGATGAGGAAATTCAAATCAAGCACACTGTGCACTCTTAATGCTATCGTAACTACATTCATGTAATTTGCTCTAAAACAATTTGGGTAAATCCCTCAGACTTTTGCCTTTATGGGTGGTATACATTCTGCTTCTGATACAAATGTAACGCTGCCAACCAAAGCTATACTCATGTGCATCTGGTATTTCTGGTAGCTCAACACCAAACATACGTACTGCCTGCTATTTCTTCCTTCACACTGACACTGAGTACACTCATACTGGGTCTGAATATTCCTGTTTTTTTTTTTTTAATCTCTCTGAAGACCGGAAATAGATGTAACTCAGCATGCTTGATGGCAGAAAACGTTTGGAATGAAAGAATATAATTAACTTGCAGATCTCTACACAGTATTATGTTACATGGCAGGCAGTGCAGTTCATTTATGGGAGTGTGTTTGTGATTTGTGAGCAGTTGACAGTAGTCATCTGTGCCATGAGCCATTTGCTCCCAGTTAACAGTCAGTCAGCCAGCAGTGTGGCATGCGTATTTCTACATGACACCTACGTGAAATACATATCTGCTGGAAAGTGTCGGCGATAATTTTGTGATGAAAGAATTCCCAGCAGACAAACAATTCATAATTTGGAGAACAAACTTAGAGCAACAGGACTCTTAATAGACATGAAAACAAAACATAAACGTCAAGTGCTTACTGAGGAGAAGTTAGGACACAGGGGCCAAACTTGAACATACGCTGATACGTCCAGCTCAAGAGACAGAAGTATCAAAGTCTAGTGCATGAAGCTTATGCCTTATAAAACAACAGCAATCCACAACTTGCAGCCACATGATTCAGCTAGCAGGGTTCATTTTACAGTTGGTTTCAACAGTCTGTCATTGAAGGCGAGACTGATCCACAGTTTACATGTCTCTCTAATGAAGCAAGGTTTCACTTGCAGGGATACATAAATATGCAAAATAATCGCTACTGGAGTTAACAGAATCCACATCTAACCCATGAGGCCTCGCTCCACACAGTTAGAGTCGGTGTCTTGTGTGCTATAAGTGCAAGGACTGCTGAAACTGTGACTTTTAACGAAACAGTTAATTATGAGAGATATTCTTGGCCAGTTCTTTTCAGAGTTAACAGAAGAAGACAGAATCTATGGCAAGACTCAGCTATCACACACACTGAACNCACTTGCAGGGATACATAAATATGCAAAATAATCGCTACTGGAGTTAACAGAATCCACATCTAACCCATGAGGCCTCGCTCCACACAGTTAGAGTCGGTGTCTTGTGTGCTATAAGTGCAAGGACTGCTGAAACTGTGACTTTTAACGAAACAGTTAATTATGTTCCTGCACAGCATCTCCAGAGGGTAAATCAGAACCTCTTCTGCCAGTCTTCTGTCTACATGTAGAGGGACAGCGTTTTCAACACCTCCTGTGATCTGTGAACAAAGGTAAGAACTTCCCTTCATTCAAAATGTTATCGGCAAGCTGAGTCATCAGCAAAATTTGAGTACGCTTTGCAGCCGTCAGCATGACAGTTGCGGTGAAGTGCAGAGCCGTGAACACTCTGTACATCTACAGTACACAACTTCATTCCAAATTTGATGTGATTTGAACATATCTGCCCTTGACTTTCGTCCACCTACATAAAAGAATCACAATACATGATTCAGCTCTACATAATGATATTTTGTTTATCACATCCGCAATACCTGAGAGCAAAGACTTGTTAAAATGATGCATGCCTTAGACCAACATCATTTAATAATCTGATACAACTTTCTCTACAGTACAATTTTTCCTTTGTTCAAAACCGGCATGGCCAGCCTCAAAAAGGTAATGTCCATATCTGAGGTAGTAAATTACTAAAATATCCTCTGTAACAAGCTGCTGAAGAGCTTGTTTAACAGCAAAATAGTAGCCCTCTATCCTGAAACCAACCTGAGATTCATTACTCAAAATACAAGAAATAAATATATTCTAGTTTCTAGAATAGGAGACGATGGACAAAGTCGAAAAACCCCAGTAATTCTGAGTATTATACACCATCACCAGAACCCTTTAGAATCTACAACAAAAGGTGTATTTTTTAATCATGAAAGTAACAGGTGGCTGCATGTAGCCGCAAATAATAATCATTGCATGATATAATCCCAGTCAGTTAATGATGACCCCAATGGTGTGCATAACTGATCCCTGTGAGAGGCCATGCTGAGTCAGAGAGATCACTGGTAAAAAAAGAAAAACTAATATTTTGGTAATTCTCAGTTCCCATTTAATGGTCTTATTCACCGTCTCTTCCTGGCATAATCAAACATGGTAACATAAATATACCATCATCACCTTTCTTTTCAGTTCATCATACACTATCTCCAATCCATACCAAGTTACATAACCTTGCGCGGAGCCTTTGGTTACATAAAGGAAGTTTCTGTAACTCAGGCGGTTGTCAAATTACACTGGAAAATCGTCACATCTGATCAAGTATGGGGTACCACCCAGCCTCCTATCCTGTGGGTACCAGGGTTTCTTCCCCAGTGGTAAAGCAGCCAGGGCGGTCATAGAGATGATAACTCACTTCCATGAAGTGCTGAAGCCAAGAATGGTGGAGCTATACCTCCACTCCCCCATATATTTTCATGACACAGTGCTTAATCAGTTAAGCACAGGGACAATTTTACCTTTACCTTACACATGATTCTGCTTGTTTGAAGACATTTCAAACATTTAATTTCCTTTGTGGGAACATCCCAGATTACCTTTACCTTACACATGATTCTGCTTGTTTGAAGACACTGCAAACATTTAATTTCCTTTGTGGGAACATCCCAGATTATCATGCATTTTCTGCAACGCACATTCTTCATATCACTTTTCACCATCACGTGCGTTAACCAATCAAATTGCTCCAAACGTTCGCATTTATACTGCGAACGCTGCTAGCCCCGCATCTACATCATCACGCGCGCTAGCCAATCAGCGCCCTGCAAATTCTTCCTCCTCAATTTCAAGTTTTGCTCTGCCCACCGAGCAGTTTATAAAAAGGAGCAGCCGCAAACCGGCAGCATCAGTCTGACTTCAGTCTACGATCAAGCCACACTCAAGCAACATCAGACAGCAGGCTTCGTCGCCAGCGCTCGGTCTTCGGAGGCATCGGCAGGCTGCGCCAGGCACAACTGCCTCAGCCCTCCGGCTCTCACACCCGACTCACTGGGGCACCTCGCCTGGACTCACCAGTGGTCGTGTTCCTGTCCGACTCACTGGGCATCTAGCGTAGCCACTGCCTCATCACTCCTACGACCGCGCTGCGCAACCACGCAACTTCAACTCACCTGCTGCACGGCGATCAAGGAACCTCCAGCAACAGCCGCACTGTGGCCAGTCCAATCACCGCAACTAACCACTCTCCCTACCGGCGTGTGCCGCGCTACTTCACCGGTCAAACATCGCAGCAACCAACGGTCCTTTTCAGGACTGACAAACTTTTCCGAAGAAGTGGGATGTCATCGGAGTAATGACAAAACTACAAAAGACCCCACACCTTTAACCTACCTCTTATCTCTTCTGCTGGCATTGATTCTGCTGAGGAGTGTGTTTATGGATGATAAGCTTCCAACTATGTTTGCCTGCCCACAATTTTTAACCTTGCACCTCTGTCCATACAGTTCCTCTATTTGAGATACAACTATTATCAGCCACTTTGGTAAGCCACCTCAGTCTAGTCTCCTGAGATTCTGGTCCAGTTTCCATTAAGCAGTCAGATGATGCATGAGAAACCTCCATATATACATGCACTCCCACAGTTATTCATCTAGAGTGCATAAGTTTCGCCTGCTTTTTATATCATCCATCACTCATGTGGGTAAGCTATCTTGATTTGAGTTGTTCTTTGCATCTTTTTCCTTTTAACATAGTGTGACATGTTGAGCTATGGATAATGTCCCCCCCCCCGCCAGCCGAAGTGAGCCAAGCGGAGCCGAAGTTAGCCGAGTCCCAGCATCCTGGTAGCTATGCAACGCGAGTCAACAGCGGTGACGTCACCAAGGGGTACCGGGTTGCTAGGCAGCGCGGGTAAACAGTGGTTGCGAGATACGATGGTAGTAACAGCGGTACACAGCGTTGCTAGCACGACGGCACCAGACAGAAGTGGTGCCTATTACGTGGCCGTTTTCTGTATTGTCCGAACAAGGCTACATAAGGTGCAGCGAAGGCTATTCACAGTCAGTCCTCGAGCTACTTCCAAGTTAGCCAGCAACCAGTCAGTTGTATTCTGGCATTTGGAGTGTAGTATTTGTGATACTGCAGATAGCAGTAATTGTGAATCTGTAATTTGGGTGATTGTAAGTGCGAATGTGAAATAAAATTCGCTATATCAAATACGGCGTGAA